CCCCGCACCCCCCCTCTCCCTCCCCTCCATTGTCTCAGGAGGCCAGATCATGCTTCAGTCCCAATTTAGAAGATCTAGAGAGATTGGTTAAATCCAGTCCTTCTTCTAATTCTGTAACAGGTGTTATCTGGAGCTGACTGACTTCCTCGGCCTATGCAGTTTGTACTCTTGAGTGCTATTGAAACCCCTGCATGAAGGTGTGCCTCCACTTCAAATGGGATTCTGTCTGTGCATCTTGGAGGGTGCCTCGCCTTCAGGCTAATACCTTCTGTTGTCTCCTCCTGTTACTCCTTCGTCTCATTTTCCCTTTGCCTCCAGCTCAGTACCCTGCACCTTCCTAGGTTTCTGTGAGTTTGTCACAGCTTTCATGATATTCCAGGCTCTGGGGCTGCATCCCACATAGGCCCTCTCCCCCCTTCTCAGGAAGGCTCCTTAGCTCTGATACATGTTCAACCCCTTGTGTTACATGATGCCCCTCAGGATCCTCCCTCTCAGGAGGACTGACCTACAGGGTCAACTTGGTCTGTTCTGTTATTGGACAAGAAATTAGATAATCAGTGTTGCTTGATAATTCTGTTGCTGTTCGGAGCGATGGCTCTATACTGAAGCTATCTTCTGGTATTCCCACTGTGGTGTACTTGGGTGTCCCCCCCTACTGAGTTAGTCCATTTTATAGTTGTTTTTTCTGGGTTGAACCACTCGGACTACTTTTGGACATCCTGACTATCTGAATTCCAGCGTCCCTCAATGAACGGCAGAGAAAATTGGATTTTTGTACTTGCCTTTTAGTGAGACATTGCTTCTCCCTGGTGCAAAGATGTAATATGCGAATTGTGGACTCAGGCAACCTTCAACAAAGTTCCTGCACCCAAATTAAGTATATGACCCATAAGTTTCACACCATGACTCTAAAGCTGCAGTGCTAACTTTTAGGTATTGTGAGCGTTCACAGGGAGAAACTGTGAAACCTGTGTTTCTGCAGCTTAGTTCTACTTGTAATGCGGAAGCAGGTGGTCGGTTGTCCATATCCACTGGAATGCCCTCCACTGCTGTGCTGAAGTCTCTTACCATGAGTGAAAGTATATAAACCTAATCTTTTCAGGTATTGGTTTCTCAACGTGGAGTTTGAGGAAATGATTGGCTAAATGTTTTCTGAGATTTCTTTTCTTTTTTACAGCATATTTAAAACCAAAAGCTGAAGAAGACAGAAGGATAGAGGCGGAGGAGAAAAAGAAACAAGAAGAAGCAGCACGCATTGCAAGAGAGTTGGCAGGTTGGTTGTGTGTAATGGATAGTTCTGCTGAAATTGTTGAAATAGAAATCTTAACCGTGTTTGTGGTTCTGAGATCAGCAAACTATAATCCATATACTATAGTCATTTACTGTAGACTTCACAAATATGGGAGCTGCCCTTACTGTTGCAAACTCCAGGATGTCCCCTTCAGCCTGGTGTCTCGATCTGTGAATTACTGACCTAGGACAAGCTTGCAAGAAAGAAGTACAGACTCTGGACTCTAGTAGCTGCATGCTTATCCAGGTTTATAACTCGCTAGATGAAGAAGACAGCCCCAGAGTATGTAGCACTAAAAAACATCCATAGCTACAGCTCCCATATTTTTTGTCTTAACGTGTATGTTTTTAGCCCTTGTT